TTCTTTATAATATTTGTCGGAAGAAATGAGATATAAAGAATCGGTATCACCATACTTGATTCCAAAACCTTTCTTAGTTACGTATTTAGCAACGAGCTTAATAATATACTGTCCTGCTGTTGTAACACCCCAGCTAATACTCGAAGAAAGAATGAGGATTTGCTATTTCCAGCTTCACCATAAAAGGTATTAATAAAAACCTTAATAGCTTTCTGCTTCGAATCCAAACAATTATAATCAAAACATATAGAGCTGTACTCTGAGTTTAAACTGTCTAGAACATTTTTACCTTTTTTCTCTATTGAACTTTTTAATTTTCCGAGTCGTTGTTTTTTCTCACCCAATATATTAAGTTTTGATTTGAGTTCCAATTGCTTATTTAAGAAATTCACTAATACAACAGGATATAACCCTTTTTTTTCTGATTGATTATTATGACGGATGCACCAAGCATTAAGTGTGCATTTATTGAATGGAAATTCAATCTCATATAGGTCACATCCCTTAGCACGTACGATATTCGCATCTTCACGATTTAATATTATTTTTTCAGAAGAGAGATTATATGCCATCATAAGGCTGAGGTATAGGGATGCAAAATCTAAACCTGTTACCGGTCTTTTACTCTCAATACCTTTCTCAGGTGGAAAAACATATGCACCACGATATTTTCCTTTTTCTATATTTTTACATACTCTTGTACTAAATACCACGTCACACTTGAAAGTATAGCCGCCTAGAAGATTTCGTACCTTCATCCTATTTGCACGATAATGCGAGTCAAATAGGGATATATGGGCTATAGAAGCAACTTCTCTGTATTCATTTATTACATTATGTGCGACCATAAGTTCTTGACAACTTAAAGCATCTTTAACGCAATACTCAGCTACTTTACGCATTCCCTCCACATTTGCAGTTTCATAAATTTTATTCATGGTGGGTATCGGCATATCAACTTTGCCCACAAGACCACATTCATGTAAATAAAAATTCAGTGAGCTATGTTTTCCTACTTCTGATCGAGGATAAAGTTTCTTAAAAGATACACGAACATCAATTGGAACACATCCCGGTATTTTTAAAAATGTAGATTCGAAATTTTGATCGCTATCAATTTTAATTTCAATTGCCTTTCTTTTAAATTCTTCCTCTTCGTAGTAATCATCATCATCATCATTCTTTTGTATATACGTTTGAGGTTTGCTGTAGAAATCATTTTTAGAAGTTTCGCCTATCTCTCCATAGTAATCGTAGCGTAAAATTTCTTCAACATTTTCCCGATATACCCCTTCCGATATTCGTTTCCACATCCATTCAAGGATATTTAAATTTTTAGCTTTTTCGATAATGAAAGGCCAGTCATAATCGGAATCACTAAATCCGAGTTGAATATCGGGAGTAAAGGTTTGCAAACAGAGAGCAAAGGCTTTCAGTAAATTAATTTGGTTACCACATATTATTGTAATTCTATCTGGGTCTGGTGATGTTTCAATATCAACAAGACAGATTTTTTATAATGCTTTAGCATCATCTTTCCAATGTAAAGTCATACAAATCATAAAAACATTATCCTTTTTATAACTCGCTCTAGGCGGTCGAGCTAATTTACGTGTACTATACGTCTCGATATCCCAAGTAAGTACAAGTGTGCGATCTCGTATGAAAGCAGAGATAGGGAAGTGAGTATTTAATGATGTGGGATCTTCTACAGGATGGAAATTTTTTGTAGATACATGGAACGCATGTGAACAAAATTTAGAATTTTTGTTATATGTATAATTATTTATCATCGACCATCCCAATAATGAGAAACCGTATTCACGAGCTACTTTCCGATAGTATGCACTTGTATCGTCTGAGGCGGTACTATATTTATTTTTACGTATAGATTTCATAGCATTCTTTCTTTCTTCAGTAGTGGTTGTAAAAATGCGTAAATATGGTTTTTTATCTGCATTGTAACTAAGGAGTGAAAAAGCTTTAACATGTTCTATTTTGTATATACCTATAATGTCAGAGAGAATATTTCCTATTTTGGCTTCGAACGTGTTTGGAGCTTCACCATCTGACACAAGAATATCAAAGAATACTCGAATACCTTTAATCGTTACTTCAGCTTTTTGCCCATTGATAAGAGGGCCGTATAAACGCAATACATAACAAGACAGCCCTTTAACCTTTTCAGTCGATTCTTTCACATCAACAGCCATAAATGGAATATCTTCTCCCTTAGCTATTGCCTGTTCAAGAATTGCAGTTAATCTGTCATCATACTTAGCAACAAGCTCATCGCGGGAGAGAATACCTTTCAAATAATCGCCACCAAAATAGTGGAATATGTATTGAAGTAATTGTTTCGCCTTTCCATTTTCTGAAATCTGTGATTGAGGAAATGCGTTAGCGCCCTGGTGGTAGGTACCCCCGTTCCCTTCATAATCGGGCTCTTTTTCAAACTCTGGCTCTACATCCGGCTTGATGTTCTCAGGTATGTAGGTCTCCTCGCATCGCTCGAAGTTTTCAGGAGTGAGGTCACAGCTGGTATATCGGGTGATGGGAGTATAATAGGCATGATATGTTCACTTTGGGTAGACATATTATTTTGGTACTATACTATTCGAGAGAAAAAAGTTCAAAATGAAAATTAATTATAAAATATAGAAATTGATACATATTATTAGATATGGCGTTTTATCGTTGCCCATATATTCTTAGGACTGGTGAAGTATGTAATCGGGGGTGTTATCACCCTGATGGTTGCTACGTCCACCGGGATTCACCTATTCGTATTCCTTGCAAAGAATATGGTTGTAGTGAGTTAAATCGTTCCAAATATGGCTATTGCGATCTTCATGCTAGAAAACATCGAAAAAAGAAACAATACCACCAAAAGAAGCTGGAGAAGATGGCACAAAACGGTGTTGGAGTGGTAGAAAAAAATACATAGTAAGTATGTATGCAATATCTTAGTATGTCCAAGTGTCACTAAAAATTTTCGGTGACAGATGTTTTTCAGAGTCAAGAACACTACCAAATTTCGCATTTTTAAACTTTTAGAAAGCTTTCTAGATGTCTGTCACTGAAAACTCTAAAAAAGATCAAATTTCTCCAGCTTTTTTTTCTTTTTTTATATGGGTATATCGCATATATAAATTATATATCGGGTATATAAATTATATATCGGGTATATATCAAAGGTAGGTATATGTAATATATATAGCATATATCGGGTATATATCAAAGGTATACCATAGGAAAAGTTTTATTTTTTTCCTAGAATTTTACTTTATTTTTAGTGACTTTGGTGACAGTATAGAAGAACAAGATAAAAAAGAATTTGAAACCAAAATTTAATAATAAACCTGTCACCAAAGTTGTCATCAAAGATGTCACCAAAGATTTTTCAGTGACGGATAGCATACCTGATAACATATATATATAACATTGTCAGATAGCATATACTGATAACATTTTTTTACTAGGACGAAACCAGGACGGATTTTTTTTCATGAAGACAGAATTTTACATAGTGACAAAAAATTCAATAGCATATTAGGTAGCATTACTCAGACCCTTTAGGGGCGTCTCTTCGAGACATAGCAATTACATGACACATGTTTTCGGATATATGCCAGAATAGGTATCCATTATTTTCTCATAATTCTTTTTCGTGCATTTGATCGAAGTTTATCATAGCGCCTCCTAATATGTAATAAACTCCGACCAGGGGTTGAAACAGTTGGTATACCACATTTAATACATGGTATTATTCTTTCGCCTTTCCAAAGACTACATTCCTCAAGTATTGTACAAGTGTTTTCACAAATTTCACCGGGATCGTGACCGAATAGACAAGTACATTCACGCGTCATTTTTTCTATTAAATATTCTATGCAATATATAAAATGACATCAGTACAAGAGCACAATATCAAGTCGGATTAAGCTATTAATAAAATTATAGCACAAGAGATTGAAAAAGCAATCAATACTTATATAGAAAAGTTTAACCAAGAATTTGATTCTGAGCTTGAAAATGCGTTTAAAGATATAATAACTATTCGTAAACTTGCTATCAAGAATCCTGATACTACCAATGATGTGTAAATCATATCATATACTATTACTTTTTTTGTCTCCTCTGACCTCATCGTCACTCGAATGACGACAGTGGCCAACTTTTGTTATCAGACCGCATGCTCACTGCCATATATCTGACCAGGAATGACTTACAGCTGACTCTCTCCAAACATAACATATCTCGGGGAGCTCCTTACAACTAAAATCAAATATAATCACCATATACTATACAATTTTTGATATCGAATTTAAAAATCTAGAAGCTTTAAAACATCATATAGAGTAGTCACACGCGCAACTTCATAACCTAAATTCGGGAGCTTACTAGTTTTAAAACTAACCGCGAACGCCAAAATGGTATACAATGTGTCATATGCGATCTGATAACAGAAATCAGCTAGATCACTGGCCTGATATATATCCGTTCGAGTGTGGCCTAAAAAATATATCACGCCACTGACGATGGTGGCCAACTTTTGTCATCAGACCACATGACGACGGTGGCCACTTTCAGTCGTCAAGCCACATACCCGAGTGGAAATAACCTAAACTAAGTGGAAATAACATAATTATGTTATTTCCACTTGGAAAACCCATTTTTATTATTTTATAGGTGATAAAACAATATTACGAAGACTATGGAAAAAGTTTTCGAATTACAAATCTGATTTCTATAATATTATTGCATGCTTATATCTATGAGATATGAAATTTACTATTCCTTTTTTTTTTACAGGTGATTATTGGCATCAAAAAATCCTTGTCATGCAACCTAACAGTAGAAAACATAACAATTGTTGAATATTACTATTTAATATACTAATATTTGTTATTCAAGCATATTATGTAGAAGAAATTGAAGAAATTGTAAGACTTTTATTAATTTATATAATAAAAATAAATATTGTTTTGTGAGAGAGATCATTTTCCTGGTATTTTTCCAGAAGATATTTTTTCTAAAATTTCATCAACTTTTTCAACAGGTATATTAGCCACATTGCCACCTAATCTTTCAATAACTAATTTTGGCCTAGTTCTATGTATATGATCATAAACACAAGGTAATCCACCTGGTTTAACTTCATCAAAAGCACCATTAGGAGGCTTACCAAATTTTTCATCCCAAGAATTTACCACAGTTAAACAAAATTTAGAACCACAAGTTCTATTCAAATGTATTTTACATTCTTGACATTGTATAAATAATAAATTACAAGTTTTGTTTCTACAATTTGTATGCGTATCACATGGTTCACCGCATGTATGACATTGGGAGACTATATCATTAGTAATTGGTTCACCCAAACGTTTATCAAATGTGAAATTACGTCCTTTATATAAAGATTTAATTGAAGGATTTGAAGAAACAAATCTCCCATATGCAGTGATTCCTCCTTTAAGAACATTAACTGATTTAAATCCATTTGATAGAAGAATTGCTCCAGCTTTTGAACATCGGATTCCGCCTAATAATAAATAAACAATGATGATGATAATATTATAATAACATAAATAATAATTAATTTAAATACTGATATAAATAAATAATATAAATAATATACTTTACCAGTACAATACATAAAAATTTCTTCATTCTCTTTTCCTTTACATATTTTATTCATTATTTTTACGCTATCACGAAAAGTGTCAACATCTGGACGAATGGAACTTTCAAAATAACCAATTTCACTTTAAAAGATGTAAAAAAGATAATAATATATATATTTATTAAAGACATTAAAATAATAATATTAAATTAATAATAATAAAATAATAAAAGATAATACTTACCTTTCATAATGATTTCTCATATCAATTAAAGTGATAGAATCTTTATTCTCTTTAGCAATTGATAAAGCATTATGCCATTCTTCAGGTGTAAGATGTTTAGGTAGATTAGATAAATTATAAGTTTTTGGTTCTAATCCATCTGATACGATCTTTTTATAATTATAAATTATATTTAATAATTATTAATTATAATATAAAATAGAAACTAATTTATTATTCTTTTATTACCTGATGTCTTATTTTTACATTCAATTTTCTAAATGCCTTTAAATGTGTTGTGGAAAAATTAAATTCAACATTACTTAAATTCAATTCTTTATCACAATATTCTCTTAATTCCTTTAAATTATTAATGGAACATGATAATTGAGCATTTATTCCTTCTGATGCTATATAAATTCTTCCCACTATTCCCATCTTTCCAAAATTATCTAACATTGATTCACGTAAATTTATTAATGTTGATTCAGGAATATTATAAAATGAATAAAATGATAAAGTTTTCCATTCGATATTTGATTGTGTTTCTTGTTTTTCTTCTATATTATCCTTTATAGTGTCATTACTGTCATTATCATTGTCATTATTGTCACTGATATTAATTTCATTGATATTATTGTCATTTTTATTATTATCATTATTAATGTCAGTTAGAGAATTATTATTACCCGTAAAAGAACGAATAACATAGAACCCAAAATTATGAAATTTATGAAATTTATGAAAATTATTATAATTCCTGGAAATTAATGAATTAAATGAATTACTATTATATATTTTTATTTTAATAAATGAATTCTCTAATATTTGTAAACTAGGATTTGGTTTTGAAGGAATTTTTATCCTTCGAAAAATAAAACTATTTAATTTCATATTTCGAAAAAAAGAAAAATAGATGTTCAGAAAATCTAAAAATGATTTATGACTAGTTTAAAAAGGAAATAATATATTATTATTATTATTTCTATATTAGATCTTTTTTATCATCTTTACTAAATGAATAATAAATGATTTCTTTTAATATCTTTAATATCATATCATTAATCATGGATGATAAATGGTTTTTGCTTGCGGAAAAGTAATATTATATCCTTTACAATGTAATTGTAATATGGCTTGATTTAGTTCATCCGGTGTTGGAAATGGTGGAGAGTTGTAGCGACGAGATGGAGTTGTAGCGACGAGATGAAGTTGACTTCGTGTTATCATTGTCATCTTTGGTTTTATACCTTTACACCTTTATATTGATATATATATTTGTGTTTTATAGTATTTTTTGTATTTTTTGTATTCTGGAAATATAGATAGGAAGAAATAACAAAACTTGGAGAAATACTAAAAAACTTAATGACAGATTTTTAATAATATATCTTCTATAACATGAAAAATAAGCTAGCAAAAAAAAAATTGCATGTCCTCTTTTCAAAAAAAAAAGATTAAACTATAAAATCAAAATCATTTTTGCTTTTTCACTATGCATCAAACAAATCACATAATAAAAATCAATCCTAAATTTAAAGAATCATTTTATTGTAAGGTCCTAACCGATCTTTTTTTTCGAATTATCCTCAAACTTCCCATTTTTTGGTGGAGTCAAAATCAAAAAAAAAATAGATTGAATCATTATGTTATCATTACAAATTTTTGAATAAAACAATTAAATTTATTTATTTTTACGTTTAATAATTTTTTAATCGAAAAAAATGACCTTACTCAACTTCTTGAAGACCCTGTTGATTATAATGTATCGATTGAAGTTGGCAAAGCACCTAATAATCAAGTTTTTAAAATTCATTCCTATATTTACAATCTCGTAGTCCTTATTTAAAAAGAAATTCAACGAAACTCTTTTTAATGACGACCATTTATATCAAAGTATTAATGATGTTCGATATTTCTATCAAAGCACTTAACATTACTATCAAGTAAGTGTTATTTAGTAATATTTTTTTATAAAAATATTAAATTTTAATAGAAATAATATTAGTTAACATTTTTTATGTAATTTATAGTGGAATAATTTCGTTAGAAAAATTAGAAAATTCATTTATTTTTGACCTCTTAATTACATCTAATGAACTAGCTGAATTGGTTGAATATCTCCAAACTTTTCTTGTTAACAAAAATGCTTCATGGTTGAGGACTTAACTTTTCTCAAGTTTACCAGACAAGTTACCAAGTCAAAAACTTCAAGATTATTCAAGACTTTTCTAATGATATTATTGCCAAGCGTCCTAACACTATTTTTGAATCTGAAAATTTCCTTTCTCTTCCTGCAGATGTATTAATTTCTATTATAATACGAGATGATTTGCAATTGGAGGATGGGACATGTAATTCAATGGGAGAAAGCTAAAAATCCAACTTTACCAACTAATCTTACAAAATGGACAAGTGACAATTTTTAACCTTGAAGGAAACTTTGAAAAAAATGTCTCTCTCACATTAGATATTTCGATATTTCGGGAGATGTTGTGGTAGAAAAGAAATTTTCCATATGAACAACTTCTTGAACGGCAACTTTTTTTTAGACATCAATTCTAAATTTATATCACCTAACAAACAAATCTCATCAAAAGTATTACCACCTCGAAAGATCTTAAATACAACACTTCCCACTAGAATTAATTCAATTCCTTCCGATATTATTACTAATGAGCATGCTCTAGAAATTTCATCTTGGATTGATCGAAAAGAAACCCTGTATACAGAAAACAACCCTATTAATATAAATTACTTGTTAAAGGAAGTAGAGATGGCTTTGATATTAAAACTGTTTACAATATTTATGATAAAGTTTCGAACACAGTTATTGTTTTAAAAGTGGAGGGTACAGGAGAAATTCTTGGAGGGTACAATAAGATAAAAAGTTGTTTTTGCATGCACAATGATGACTGGTGTTATAAAAAACCAATTCTTTCTGATGGATTTCTTAGTAAAGCTTATTTCCATTCTCAGTTGAAAAATTTGAAGTTTTCAAAGTTTCACCACACCACACCCAAAATGATATTTTAAAATTTATTTAGGACTATGTCATTTATGCTTATTTTGTCTTTGTGAAACAAATAAAACAATTTTTGAATTTTCAATTTACTGCTAAATTTTTCGACCGTTTATCAAACGACCTTATTCAACTTCTTGAAGACCCTATTGATTATAATGTATCAATTGAAGTTGGCGAAGCACCTAATAATCAATATTTTAAAATTCATTCATATATTTTACAATCCCGTAGTCCTTACTTTAAAAAGAAATTCAATGAACTCCTTTTAATGACGACCATGTCAAATTATTAAAACTTCTTAATATTTCTGTCAAAATATTCAATATTATTATCAAGTAAATATAATTTCATTAATTAATTATAATATTTTTTTTAATAAATAATTTTTATGTAATTTAGATACGTTTATGGTGGAATAATTTCGCTGGAAAAATTAGAAAATTCTATTATTTTTAACCTCTTAATTTACTCCGATGTATTTGAACTGGATGAAATAGTTGAATGTCTCCAAACTTTTCTTGTCAACAATAATTCTTCCTGGTTAAGGTTAAATTTTGCTCGAATTTACCAGACAAGTTATCAAGTCAAAAACCTTGAAATTATTCAAGACTTTTGTAACGATATTATTGTCAAGCATCCTAACACTATTTTTGAATCTGAAAAATTCCTTTCTCTTCCTGAGGATGAATTAATTTCTATAATTAAACGAGACGACCTGCAATTAGAAGAAAGTAAAATCTGGGAAAACGTGGTACAATGGGGAAAAGCTAAAAATCCGACTTTACTTATTAATCTTTATGAATGGACAGGCAATAATTTCTTAACCCTAAAGGAAACTTTAAAGCACTGTTTCCCACACATTAGATATTTCAGTTTTTCAAATAAAGATTTGTTGGTAAAACTTTTTCCATATCAGCAAATTCTTGAACCTAAACTATGGTTAGACATCAATACTAAAATCATGGCTCCTAATAAACAAATCTCATCAAAAGTATTACCACCTCGAAAGATCTTAAATACAACACTTCCCACTAGAATTAATTCAATTCCTTCCGATATTATTACTAATGAGCATGCTCTAGAAATTTCACCTTGGATTGATCGAAAAGAAATCCTGTATACTGAAAACAATCCATATGAATTTAAATTACTTTTTAAAGGAAGTTTGACATTAAAACTGTTTACAATATTTGTGATAAAGTTTCGAACACAGTTATCGTTTTAAAAGTGGAGGTACAGGAGAAATTCTTGGAGGGTATAATCCCTTTGAGTGGGATAAAAATTATCAAGGTTGAAAAACGAACCAAGACTGTTTTGCATTTTCATTGAAAACTGCAAGTCTAAAAAGTTCCATTTTAAGTAGGGTTAAAAATAATCATTTGGCTATTTGTTATGATCGTCAAGATTCAATATTTCATAACAAAAGATAATCATCACTTTTGTCAAGCTGATGATAAATATGAAAAACCAATTCGTTCTGATGAATTTCTTAATAAAAATTATTCTTCACCTAATAATATATTTTCAGTTGAAGAATTTGAAATTTTAAAAGTTTCATCAAAGAAGTAATTAAAGCAATACAGTATTCTCTTTATTATATAATATTATTTATTTTTTCTTGTAATATAAATTTTTTTTAAGAAATAAAAAAAGAATGTAATAAGAAAATTAATTTGCCTTTATTTTATAATAAAACAAATAAACAAACTAACTAAAGTCATATCAATATATAAAAAAAAGCATAAAAATTATTCCAAGTTTGTATTGAATTAGTTAATTATAATTTTTTCAATACTTAAGTAAAAATAAATTTTATGCAGAAAAAGCGAGCATGTGATTGCTTTTGATAAAGGATAAAATTGAAACTTGGTGCGACCTTAACATATTTTTACCTTTTTTTTTTTTTACCAATGAATAATGTAAGAAGGATTTATAATAATGGAAGTAGAGGAATATCAATTTCTCGTTCAAAATTAAAAAGGATACCAAAGTTATCTCATTATTATTTTTCATCGTCTTCGAATATGAATTTGAAAATTGATAAAATTGATGATGATTGTCTGGTAAAATTCCCAATATAAAAAATTTTTTGTTACATGATTTTATTTGAATTTTAAAAATCACTAACATTCAAATATTAAAGCCAGTGACACCAACATGGTCCGTTAATTCATTGTTATTACCATTAACCTCAAATCCAAAGCTTCAACAAGATCAAAATGAAAATAAAAATGAAAGTGAGAATGAGAATGAAAATGAAGAACGAAAAGAAAAGTTGAAAACAATGACACAAACAGAACCAGAAATCACAGAAGAAGTTTTTAATAATTTATTAAAATTATCAAATTTAAAATTATCAAATAATAATAATCCTGAAATAGTTAAAAAAGAAAAAACAAATTTAATCAAAGATATCAATTTGTTATGTAATTTTGTGAGTCATATAAGTGATGTTGATGTTTCTGGAGTGAATCCATTAAGAAACCTTTGGCCTGATGGGATCGGAATGGAACTTAGAGATGTTGATGTTGATGTTGATGAAAATAGTAGTAATAACATCAACAATAACAACAATAATAATAGGATTGAGAAAGGAAGGGAATTAATGAAACATGCCAAAATTTCATATGAAAATTTTTACGTTGTGAAAAAAATATAAAAAATAAAATAATATTTTTTATATAACAATTATATGTAAATTCATTCAAGAAGGAAAAAAAAATTTACAAATTTAAAATGAAAACATAAAATTCAAATATAAAAAATATAAAATTATAAAATTTCATATGTATACATGTGGCTAATAAAATATATTTCACATTATTTTTTCTCAGAACTCACATCCTTTTCACATATTTCTTGGAATTAATTTCACCAAAATATCATTTTTAGATATATTAACAAATCTTTCTTCCTTAATCACATCTTCAACTTTCATAGCCAATTCCACTGTGAATTTTTGTAAAATTAAAGATATTAACAATTTAACATCCATCATAGCCATTTTATCAGCTGGGCAAAGACGTGCTCCAAATCCAAACGGACACCAAGCATTTGGTTTAATTTTCTTACTATTTTCAGGAGAAAAACGGGAAGGATTAAAAGTAAGCGGATCATCAAAATATTCGGGATTTTCATGATATAATGGAATAGGATAGAGAATTGCGGTTCCTGAAGTAATAGAAAGTTCTTCATCTGATGATGATTTGAATAAGTTAGAAGATTTGAATAAACGAGCACAAAATGATCCAGGTGGATGAAGTCTTAACGATTCTTTTATAACTTGAGTAAGGTAATTCATCTTGGACAAATCTAATTGTAATAAATAATATTATTTATATTTTGTTATTAGAATAAATAGAATAGATATAAAGTTTTAGAAAAAAAAATAGTACCTTCAAAAGTAGGAAAACGTCCTTCTAATACTTGATCAATTTCCTCATGAAGTTTCTTTTGAATATCTGGATATTGGGTTAAAGAAAATAATGTAAAAGGGATAGCGACTCCTGTAGTGTGATATCCAGCAGTCAAATAAACACCAAAGAAACTTTTAATCTAAATTTCAAATATTATATGTATATATAATATTAGATAATATTATCAGTTATTAAATAATAATAAATGTATAAAAATAGAACTTACCATTTCATAACTAAAAGGTTCTCCTGTATCAGGATTATTTTCACTAATCAAAATATCAAGAAAATCTTTAACCTTATTTTCTTGATACCCACTATTTATTTTTGTATTAATTAATTTATTCAAAATGTTATTATAAAAATCAAATCCACTTTGAAAATCTTTATCATCACTGGCAATTCCAAATTGTCTGTCATATACATTATTTAAAATGGCATCATAAGCTTTTCTAAATTTTTGAAAATCTAAATCTTGAAGTTGGACGCCACTGTTTTATGAATTTTTTTTTAACATGAAAAATGATGAAAATTGATAATAAAAGATAATTTTTTAATAAATTACATGAATTACTGATTAAAAATATTAAAAAAAAAAATTTACCTAATACTATATGCAGTAATCCTTAAAGAAAATTCACCACATTCTTGCTGCATTTTAATTATGGCATTTTCTTGAGTATTAAAAATTTTTTCCCATCTATTGACTAAATTGATTGCGATATTTCGAATTCCTTCAAATTTATTCAACAAAACTAGTATAATATCATATAATAATATAATTTAAATTTTATCATAATATTATATCGATTGTTGTGACTGATTACATTTATTATTTATAACAAAGGTACTTATCACATTTAACTCACTTTGATTCCCAAATGCGGATCCTGTCAATTTTCTGAATCTTTGAGATCTCTCAGTATCAAAAACTTGAAGATTATCTTCTCCAAATATTGGTTCTAAAAATTTAAATAAATCTCTTGGTCTATCTCCATTATGTAATGATTCTTTGATTATCGCAGTATCAACTACTGAAATGGTATTCTCTAAAGGAATTTTTGATAAAACAACAGGACCCTGTTTAGCATGAAGTTTACGAAGTAATGCGACGAAACCACCGGATGAAGATATGTCATCTTCCTCTTTAATTTCCCTTTTTAATGATGACGGCGGTAAATTTTTTTTGGCAAAGATAAATTTATCGTAAAAGAAAAGGTAACTGGGTAGAATTATGCATAAAATAAGAACAAAAAAGTAAGATAAATAAGGTAGATAAGAAAGATAAGGGGAATGAGTGAGGTAATCGAGGTAATCAAAGTAGATATCAGAAAAATATGTCATTTTTAACGTGAGAAAAAAAAAAGAAAAGAAATAATTATTTTTTTTATGATATCATTGTTTGCATTTGGTAAAAGTATCTGTTGATCTTTGTAAAAAAATTTACAAGAAAAAATGAATCTGAGAATGAAATGAAATAAAAGTTATATAAAGGTAATTATTACATTATATTTGAAAAGTAATTTTACAAAAGAATCCAAAATAAATAAAAATGTATTTAATTTTTGTCTATCTAGTATTTATAACAATAACATTAATTCCAATAAAAATATGTTGTCAAAATGATCAATCTGATCAATATGATCAATATGGACAAGGATGGTTTAAAATTCCAAATTTTATGAATTTTATGAAGAAATTTCATAAGATACCTTTGCCAGATAATGATTTTCCAGGTTTCTTGATTTTGCTGTTAATTGTGCTAATTGTTTTATCGTATATTTTGTTAATAAATTGTATTAATTTTAATTTCTCATGATAAAGATTGGACAGGAAATTTCCTGAAATTATCAAATGAAGAAAAAATGTTTATTGAACATGGAAATGGTAAAAAATTTACTTTTTTGTTATTTTATTATTATTTTATTATTATTTTATTGTAATTTTTTATTTTATTTAATTGTTATTTTTAAGCAATGTTATCTAAATTTGAGAGAAAACATGATTGTTTTAAAGATGCTGCGTTGACTTTAAAGAATGGTTGTAGAAATATGAATTTAGATGATGATGATAAAATATTATGTAAGTAAATGAAAGATATATATTGTATGTATATACCCATACACGCACAGTACACTTTTAATACAAAGTTGATTTATAAGATGCGGTACAATTAACGAAATGCGAAATAGCAACCGCAAATCTTGCTGTGCCCATGGAATGTGATGATATTGACAAAGAAATTGAAAGCTGTGTAGAGTGTGTATTCTTTATTTTTAATTTTGTATTTTCTTACCTTTTTTTTACATTCTTTGAAATCTTTTTAATAAAAAATTTTTTAAAAGATCTTTGTCAAGAATACCCCAATTATGGACATCATATTCTGGATATTTTCGTGAAGTTTGTTAGTAAATCATAACTTCTTTGCTTTAAAATTCTAGAATATACATATATAATTATAATAATTCATTTAAATGAACTTTTTTTCTTGTTTTCTGTTTAGTTCATATGTGTTTCGCTGTACGTCATTCATTGGAACGAGGTTAAAAATTTTAAAATTAAATAAAATGAGTATTTTTTTTTTTTTATATTTCACGTTGAATATTTATTGTTATTGTTATTATTATTTTTGTTATTATTTATTGTTATTATTATTATTTAGAATTACTTGAAGAACTTCATAGAAACATTACTCAAAATCAACTTAGAAACTATAATATTTTACGAGTTCAACAACGAGAAATGATTATTTGGCGAAAAGAAGAAATGTCTAAATTAATCCAAATTGAAAAATCTCAAATTAGAATCTTGGAAAGTATTAATGAAACTAGGGTGAGCAATGCATTAAATAAAAATATTTTATTCATTCATTTATTTTTTTTTTAATAAATATGTATTTTATGTTATGTTATAATATAATTTATATTTATTTTTTTTTATTTAAAGAAAACAACATCTTTAATTACAACAAATATGTTGTCACTAAAAGATAATTTATCAGAATCTAAAGGAATTGCTCAACTTATTTTCAATCAATTATTTCAATTGACAAAGGTAATTTATTATTATCACACATAATTATATAATCTATTTCTTTATAATGAAATAAATAAAATATTCCTTCTATAAAATTGAAGACAACATCCTCAGCTATAAATAGTGTGGAATCTCTCAAAGAAAATTTATCAGAATCTCAAGAAATTGCTCATCTTACTTTTAGTCAATTATCCCAATTAAGAGAGGTATTAATTTCATTTTTCTTAATTAGTATATTTAAATTTATTTATATATAAATATATATATATATATATATAATTGATATTTCAAAAACAGGAACTTAGCTTAACTTATGAAAAGATTAATAATGAGCACAGACAACAATTGATAACACTAAATCAATTTATGGTTTGCATTATAAGTTATTTTAATTATCTTTTTTAGTTTATTTTCCGAATTTTAATTCTTTAATTCATTTTTTTTTTTTTTAAAAAAAAGGAAACTTTATTAGAGGCCCAACAAAATTTAGAAATGTTATCATCCAATTCACAACATGAAATTAAATTATTAACACAATCCGTATCTGATGCTCGAGAAAGTCAAAAAGATTTTTTAAAGATTTTGAGTCCATTTATTTTAATGAGAGATTTTATAAATTGGACATTGACTTCTTCACATGAAAATACTATTAAATACGCATTTCTGGGATATTCAATTCCTTTATTTAAATTTTTTGTTTTCTGGATAGGACTTCATAAAAAAATTGCTTTTTTAGGTTTGATTTGTTTTTTGTTATTTTCATGTGATCGTTTAGATTACTTTCTTTGAAATATTAACACTACATTCTATATACTCAATATTATAGTTGTCATCTTTAATATGCTTCTGATCTACTTGTACACCAATAATAATAGCGAACAAATGAAAATTGGGAATTTATTTACTGTTCTTGTGATGGTATATAATATTATTTTAATGAATTCTTTCTTTCTTTTCTTTTTCTAATATCTTTAATTCTAATCTGAAATATTTTTATTCAAAAATAAATTTAGTCAATTCTTATCATACCTTTAATTTTCAAGTATTGGCAAAATTATGTTTATAATCAAAATTCAATTTCCATTTCTTCTTACCCTTCCAACAACAATTTGAACAATTTAAGCGATCCAAATAATATAAACAATTCAAACAATTCAAACGATTTATCAAATTTGAGATTTAATAATATTCAACCTAGGTGAGTAAACATAAAGAAATTACTTATTATATATTATATACTATTTTTAATATAATTATTTCTTTCAATGAATTTTGTAGAATTCCAAGATTTACTTCTTCAATTAATCTTTGCAACAATAATGAAATTTATCACAACAGAATATTAAATACTAATTTCCTAGGTGTTGATCGTGGTAGTGGTTATGGAGATAGGGAAAGGAAGAGGAGAAAAAATTGAGAAGAATTATAGTTTCTTTTTGATCTTTTTGAATCGAGATAGACAATGTGTAAAAAATAAGACAAACTATTGCAACGAGATTTTTTGATACAACATTCCATCATTCAAAAAAGAAATTATTCACAATTCACACCCTTCCCTTAAAGGAACTGGTCTATTGTTAAACAATAAAACCTTTCTAAACACCTTAACAACATCATACCCAACTTTAGAATTCTTTTCAACGTAAACTTTTTTGTTAGAAAGAACTTTGTCATGATTAAGTGATGAAAACAAATCATTATTATCTTTTAAACTATCATCTCCATTATTATTGCCATTTGAATTCATCCGTACCGTTCTTGCAAAATTTTCAGCAAGCAAAAATGATTCTGATTTCAGGTTAACATTTTTATTGGGATCAATTTGTTCAATTTGATCTGATAAAGACGGAACGCGTTTGACAACCATAATAGGTTTCTCTAATTCAACTATTTTTCCTTCTATGAACCATCGTCCTATTTCTATGATTGGAATTCCCTATTAATATGTTAGAATATGCAATAACACACGTTAAATTAATAAATAAATTAATCAAATAATAAAAAAACGCGTTAAAATAAATAAAATAATAATACTCACTTTATCGTTTAATTGTAATTTTCCAATATACTTTCCTTTAATATCTTCATATTCTGTTCCTAATTCTCCCTGAAATTCAAACATCACGAGTCCTTGATTAAGTAATTCCTTACATTCTTCTTGGTAATTTATCTCTCCTTCAGTATTGATAATATCTTCACCTTTTTCTTCATTTTCATTTTCATTTCTTTCGCTATCGGCTCGATTATTTTTAAGTAATTTATCCATGTGCAGCATAAATTTGACCATTATTACTTATCTAATATTTTGGTTTCCTTTATTTTGTGAAGTTTACGAAAATATATATATATATTTATATATTTATGCCGTGGAGCGTTTACGAAATTTATTTTTTTTTTAAAGTTTTACGAATTATAATTGATTGCCGATCTCTAATTTTTTACCCTTGAATTTCTCTTTTCGTGAGTTATTGCAATCCTTCCGAGTTTTTTACAGACAAAAGTATTCGAATAGTTGTTTCACAATATCCTACAGTTATTTAGCGTCCCTATGTAATTGATGCTTTGGGGAGAGGTTTACCGTAACGTCTACCAAGATTAAATCTTGATAGTGTGGTCACCTCTTTTTAAGAGAACATTGGTTCAATGCTAGTTTATCTTACTTTTCCATGTTGGTTTCATATGGAATTTTACCAGTAATTTTTTTACATCTAGGGTGGATATTTATGCATATTAATTACATTTTATCACACTTTATTTTGAAAATACACTCGTCAAATTTCTCCGAAGGTTTATTATCAACTTGATATTAGAAGATATTAAAAATTAATTTTCAGAGCCTGCTTTCAATCAATTATTAATCAAAGCTACTAAACAAGTGCTACGCAAAAAAAATTACATTTTTTAAGGAATTGGATGTGAATTTTTTTTGTCCATCAAATGCATAATACATATTAAAAGAGAATCAGTCAGTTCACAAGGCCAGTCTTACCAAAAATTCAGATATATTTATATATCCAGTCTTATCAAATATCGTAATCTATAATAGTATTGAGAACATAAAATGGTATAATTATCAAATAAGATATTAAGAGAGATTCTTTCCTCCTCTCATTATATAAAACGACAAAGGGAAAAGAAACTGAGGTAGATGAATGCAAGTAAATACATTGAATGAAGTAGATCAATAAAAGAAAAAAAATAAGGAAAGAAATGAAGATATATATTGAAATGGCAAGTAGGTAAATGAGACTCAATATACATTTAAATATTTAAAAAATATCTTCTAAGAGCACTTGACTAAGTATCCTTTCTCTGATGATATAGTTTTTGGTCCGAGAAACCAATCCTTTAGTCTGTTAATCCTTGAAATGTGACTACTTATTAAAAGAACTTGTTGAACATGATTGGATAATTTTAAAACAAACATAAATCATGTGACTTTAAAAATCAATGGATTAACCTAAAAACAATTCACTCTATACTCATTATATAATTTTTGAAAAAGAATGACTTGCCCACACTTATGGACTCCTTCACTTGAACCAAGAACTGTAGCTCACTCTTGGTACCAGCATGCAATAAATGAAGCTGCTGCCTTAGATAAAGAAGAAGAAATTTATAAAGCTCAAGTATGTTATACAACGATACGCGTTCTTATTTCATTACTGCCTACATTACTATATTACTGTCTATAAAATTAATTTAAATCGACCCTTTTTTTTTCCTCGAGGGAAGTCCAATGAAATAAAAAATAGGTGTAAATATGCTGCTATTCCTGGAGTATTTAGAATTAAACATGAAGTAATTATAGTAATTATGAAATTACTATTCGTATATCTTATTTATTATTTTATAATTTTATATAATTTTAATTTTTTTTAATTCTTTTAATTCTTTTAATTTTTTTTTTTTTTTTAAATTCAATTCAGGATGATGAATTCTTAACAGAAGATGTAGGAGATGATGATACAGAATATGAAGGAGAAGAAGATGAGGAGGAAGATGATGATGAGGAGGAAGATCTTGATGAAGACGTTGAAGAATTGGATGAAGGTGACATATCAGAGGAAGTTACAATGTCTTATTCAATTGATAGAAGACGAGTCAATCCTGTAACACCTTCGTTACGTGCTAATAACAATGATCCATATTTACCGGTACTTACATCAGAACCTTCTGATATATCTGGTTTATTACTTTCTTCACCTCCACCGATTTCAAATTCTATTTCGTCAACTGAGAGAGGTATTAATAATGGTAATAATAATAATAATAATAATAATAATTCCAATGAAATGAATTCCTCAGGATTTTCTATTTTACGTGGTGATACTTATAATAACAATCACGTAACAAATGATTTGACAGATTTTTTACCGAGAAATAATAATTTAGGTTTAACAGATGTTAATTATGAAGTAGACATTATGGATGACATTGATTTACTTCAAAATGACGATTTATCTTTTATTTAATTGAAATCTTTTAATTTATATAACGAAAAAATACAAAAAAAAAAAAAGAAATAAATTTAATTCACTTTTCATTCACTTTGCATTGAATAATAATGAACAAAAATTTAAAATCTTTTATTTGTATCATGAATATTGATTGTCATAATTTAACAGGTGATCAAAAATTTTTCATGTGAGAGATAAATTTTGGATGACAAATTCCCATGCAATAAGTGTTAATAAGTGTCTATACCCAGTGAATAGGGTAAGATTTTTCATTTTAGTAAGCATATGATCATATGATTTAAATAATACAATATAAAGAGTCGGATCAAGGTTTAGCGTAAATATTCATGTGCATCAAACTTTTCTGTTTGTTCAAAACTTAAAAATGGACCCTTGTGCAGATGAGTTATTAATTACAGAAGACCCTGACGACCGAGCAATTCATCAATTGGTGCTCGACTACCTCATACATAATTGCTATGGAGAAACAGCAAAAATTATCTTTAAAGATAGCCAGTATTTAGGTGTTACATCTAAGGAGGACCATTACACTAATGGTTTCAATCAAACTGACTCGATTCCAAATGGTAATACTTCGTTTGACTCTATGTATGCAGGAAAATTTGATGCAGATGGGGACTTGGAAATGAAAGACTCAAATCTGGAGAAGTTGGTTCATGTTAATAACTCCAATAATTCTTTATCACAAGAGTCCAATAACTCAAAGATTCTTACATTACTGGATAGCAAAAAAATAGAAAAAAATGGATTTGATGTAGAATTCGCTTTGAAAAGCCTTGATATAAGAAAACGTATGTCGTAATTCGACATTTTTATCATAATTCAGTTTCTTGTCATAAATGTATAGAAATTTTTTATTTGAATATCTTTCTTTTTGATCAGAAATACGTGAATACATAAAAGTTGGTAATATCTCGGCTGCGTTATCACTGTGCCAAACATCTTTCCCAGAAATTATATCAGCAAATGGAGATGATCTAAAATCGATAGAAATTTGTTTCAAGCTTCATACACAGCAATTTATAGAAATTGTGCGTTCGGGAAATGCTATTGAAGCTTTAATGTTCGCACAAACGGTGTTAGACAAATTTACAGAACCACATTTCCCGAATGAACAGAAATTTCGTGAAGAGTTAAATGAAGTGAGTTCAATAATGGCATATACTGACCCGGAAACTTCACCTTCCGCAAGATTTTTTTCTCAAGCACGTCGCGATCAATTGGCAGACGAAATAAATAATGCAATATTATGTATGTAACAACCGTGCTATTTTCATAAGTTAATTCTTTAAAATAAATATAAAATTTTTTATATATCTTTTATTTTATTAGCTCGTGGGCATCAAATGAGTGAATCAGTACTCGAAAAAATTATAAAACAGGCGACAGTAGCACGTGAATATTTACATCACGCTATTCCAAAGGGACAAAGATCAAACAAGGTATGGTCCGGCTCAATTATTACTTTAATATTGAATGACAATCATTCCAATTTCATTTTGTGTGAAATTTTAATACTATTCAGATATACGCGAAATGGCAACTCTCTACGTTTATCCAAGAAGGAAGTTAATACAATTAATTAAGTATGTTCAACCAACAAAAAAAAAATTCTGTAACCTCGTGTTTTCTTTTATTTTTCCGCGAGTTAATTATCCTCGACAACTTATTTTATAAGCATTTCCAATTTTTTTTGCATAGTAATATTTTCAGAGTGCAGAGCATGTTGTGGTATCCGATTCCTAATTTTTAGGTGATATCAACGATTATAGCTTTGGTAATAAGTGTGAGGTCATCATTACATTTCGAAGCATTTGCTATGCATAATTGGGTTATATTTTTGGAAGCGATTAATTCTCGGTCTCTTTATTCTTCGCTTCAGAATTAATATCATTCAGGATCAAGCGCGATTTTCACAGGCTTGTTGAAATAATTAATTTTATGTATTTTAAATAAGATGAGTTTTTTTAGATTACATTTTTTTTTTTGATTTCAGAACTAAATTTCGCAATTATAATTAAATTGAAGTTAATTTGTAGATTATAATTTTTTTTGTTAAAGAATAGATGCTCTTTTTTTCTCTATTTTCTCTATTTTCTCTTATTTCTCTATTCTCTCTATTTTCTGTGCTTTAATTATATTATAAATGATATCTTTTTTTAATAAGTTTTATAAGTTTGTTCTTATCAAACATACTGCTTCCTTAGGTAATATTAGATAACATACATAGAAGCTTGATCAAAAATATATATATATATATATATATATTTATTAGTAGTACAAAAAATAGCAGTAAAATGATGGAGAAGTTTTCAAACCAGTACGCAACGTAATATTTCAAAGTATTGTGTATTAAATTAAAAATTATAACCTGTAATAACTCGGTTAATTTCTGATCCAATCAATGTGAAACAACTGACATTAATGAGAGAAATCCTAGATGATTTCCTAGAGCCACTTCAGAAAAATACAAAAATTAATATATATATTAAGAAAAATCACGTGATAAACGGAATATTACACACAAAAATTTAATTCGGCTACGATTTACACGACAGGGAGCAATTTTAAATTAAGGTATTTTTATGACAGATAGAAAGCCCTTGTTCTTAGCTACAAGATGATATGGATTTCATTCCTGTAACATCGATATTCGCGAAGATATTCACGAACGTCCGTGAAAAAATTCTGCCATAAATTTTCCGTAATTCTGGCCAGAATTACAAAATAATAAATTATTATAATTATAGATGTGAATATTAAAAACGGTAATCTCAAATATAAAAATTGATTGCATATTATATTAAAAGGACAGACCTATATAATCAAATTAAGCAAATTATTATCATCTTAAAATTTTTCGCCTGTTTGAACTTTAACTGCTAATAGTTCTCTCAATTTTGATGATATATGTCTTTTCTTTTTATATGATATGTAATTTATGTAATTCAACTTTGTTTAAAATATTTTTAATTAAGAATTATTCAATTGAAATAAAAAAAAAAGTATCATTTTGAAACCAACAACAAATAGATTTCAAATGTGCACAATATTTAATTGTGAATTGCTGATTATATTCTGTAATAGTAAAAATAATTAAGGACACTATCATTAACTGAAAGTACACTTTATATAAAGAAATTTTCATTATAGTAGTACAATGAAAAAATATCTGATGTGATCACGTAATCTGGTTATGATTTATTTTTTTTTTTGTCATTGAAGATGACAGTGGAAAGTAAGGTCAAAACATTTGGGAAGATAAATACGCGAAAAAATAATTTTTAGGAACTACGAAGTAATAATGTATTATATGAATAAAATATATTAAAATTAATAAATGCTATATATGTGCTGTCATTATACATTATTTTAATATATATAATATGTACCCTTGTAAACAGGTAAAAAAGAAAATCTTTGACAATATAAGAAAAGTAATTAATATTTTAAATGAATGGTAATACAATTGTTTTTTTTAATCGAACATTCCATTCCATTAAATACTTCACGTGTATGTATAAAAACCTCCAACTTCGAATTTAATCGCTCGTCCGTCGACAATTATTATAACGAAAAAATTTTTTTAATGAAACAAATGAACAAGCACGTACCTTTCGAGACTAATAAATAATAAATTCAAATAATAATTATTATTATATCAAAAATTTCAAAACTTTTATCAAATTTTTAACCTACCTTCATTAGTTTAACCAATAGTTTTTTTTTTTTTTTTAACAAATCCACATGGAAACTCTCACTCAATCTCCTTTTTATTTGCAGTCAAGTTCCCAAAATTTAACTCCTTCTACTACTTCTACTACTACTACTAATAATACCATAAATACTATTAATAATACTATCAATAATAATATCAATAATAATATCAATAATATTAATACTACTACTACTGCTACTACTATTAATACTAATAATAATAATAGTAATAGTAATAATAATATATCCAGTATGCTTATTGTTTTGGAACCAATAAATAAATCTTTTACTACCAAGAAATTACAATTGGTTGAAGGAATGCCTATTTTTATCGGAAGAGCGACAAGTAAAAATACTATACCGAAAGAAAATAATGGTTATTTCAGTAGTAAAGTACTTTCCAGAAGACATGCCGAAATTTGGTGTGAGAATGGAAAAGTATGTATATAAATTTTAATTATTATCATTATCATTTATCATTTCTCATTTATTAATTTTATTTTTTATTTTTTTTTTTTTTTAGGTTTACATCAAAGATTTAAAATCCATTAACGGAACTTTTGTAAATGATAATTGTATTAGTGCAGGAAATCGGGAAGGTGATTCAGTAGAAATTTTTGATGGCGATACTTTGGTAAAATAAAATTTCCTTATTTCCTTACTTTTTTATTAATTATAAAAATTTATAATTTATTATTATTTAACATACACACACACATATATGCATTTGTATATTTAAAGGAATTTGGTCTTGATATAATTAATACTGCCGATGTACGAAAACAAATGCTCAATAAAGTAGTTGCTAAAGTGAACATAATCTCATCCCCAGAAGTTACTTCTAATAATAATAATAAGTAAGAATTAAAATAATCCACTTTCCTGATTTCTCTTTTTTTTTCTAATATTCATTTTATTTGATTATTTAATTATCAAATTTTTTTTTCACAATTATAGTAATAAGGTAATTATTTTTCATTTTATTTTATACTTAAATTTTTTTTTATGTTAAACTTTTATTTTATGCGCCTATTTATATATATATATATATTAAAGTTCGTTCTGAAAAATATATCAAGTGAAACAAAAAATCGTCATCCCGAAAATTTTTTTTATTCAAAGTTGGAGGTAATAAAATTAATTATTTCACCAATAATATCTTATCATATCTCATATATATATATATTTATATATCTATTTATATATCTTTTATATAGTGTGAGTTACGATGTGCTTATGAAGAGAATCAAATTTTATCAAATATTACCGAAAATCTCAATGATTTGAGTCAATCGATTGAAGATAAGACCAATGTAATAATATTTTTATATAATTCATTTTTATTAAATTTTTCATTATTTTTTTTGAATGTGAACAATAAAATATATTTATTTATTTATTTATTTGATTTTTATAGCATCATCTTTTCGAAAGACTTGAAGAAACTCAATCCAAATTTAATATACATATGAAAAATTGTAAAAAGGAAAAGTCAACTTTAGTTCTCAATTTTAATCGTAGGATGGAACATGTTCTCGCCATAGTTAATGAATATAAAAACAAATGTCAATTATACGAAAAAAAGGTTTTAAAGTTAGATGAATTTAGTCAAAGAATTGAAGAATTATCATTAAAACTTGCTGAAGCTCAAGAACAATTAGCACATAAAAATAATTGTGAACTTAATGAAATTCTTGATGATTATGATAATAATGATAATAATAATAATAATACAAAAAAATTTGAACAAAATAATACAAAGAAATTTGAACGACATAATAATAATGTTTTTCAAGAATTTCAACAATTTAAAGGGGATACGAATAATGAATTATCAAAAGTCAACAATCAATTGCGAGAAGCTCAAGAGACGATAACGAGAGTAGTCAACGAAAATTCAATTCTTAAAGAAAAACTTGAGACAACAAATAAGAAATTAAAATTATCAAAATCAACGTCATCATTAATTGTTAAGGTAACAATAACAACAACAATAATAATAATAATAATAATGATAACGTTAAAACATTTTAAATTAATATATTATTATTTTATTTTCTAGGGAATGATTGGTGGCGTAATTGTTGGAGTAGGAGCAGTTTCAGTTTCAAAATATTTTAAAAGTTAAAAAAGTTAATTTAAAGTTAAAAGTGAATAATTTATTTATTTAATAATAATAATAACAACAACAACAACAATAATAATAATAATATAATAATAATAATATAATAATATAATAATAATAATAATATAATAATAATAATAATCTAATAATAATAATAATCTAATAATAATAATAATCTAATAATTTAAAAGTTTCAAGAAAATAACGAAACGAAATAAAATCTAAATTAATCAATAACTAGACAGCATTACAACATTAAACTTTATAATTCAACGGAGTTTTACTCCAATGTAAACAATAAACAATGGCATTATAAAATAATTATTGTAAATATTTTTCTTTTCCTTTTCTCATATTATTAAATAAAATCACTTAAATTATTTTCAAATTGTTTTAAAAATTTAAATAAAATAAATAATATTAAAACTCTATAACTTCCTTTATGGCATCAAAACATCTGATCACATCAGGAACATAAAATTTTTCAAATACAAGCGGAAATGGTGTGCTGATAAAAGTAAATATAATAAAATGTGAATGTGTAAATTTAAAATAAATATGAATAAATAAAATAAATAAATGAATAAATGAATAAAGAGATAATTTTTTTTTTTTACTTACTCCCATCCACAAACTCTTTGAATAGGTGATTCAAGTCTTAAAAAACAATTTTCCGTTATAGTTGTCGCAATTTCAGCTGCAAATCCTGAAGTTTGAGGTGCTTCATGAGCAATAACTAATCTACCTGTCTTATTAACAGACTTTACTACTGTATCAACATCCCAAGGTAAAATTGTTCTCAAATCAATAAGTTCACAAGATAAACCTGAAATCTTTTTTTCCGCCATTCGTATAGCATTCTCTAAAACATAAATTTGAGATCCGTAACCAACTACTGTAACATCTTTCCCTGATTTTAAAATTTCTGCTTTACCCAATGGTAATTCATAATCGCCCATAGGTACGTATTCAACTAATAAAATATATATATATATATATTTAGTGATTGTTTCTTAATATATTATCATTTATATTATTTTTTTAAAAATAAGCAAATTCATGTATTACCAGCTGCTCGATATAATATCTTTGGTTCTAAAAATATTATAGGATTTCGATCCCTTATTGATGCCAGTAAAAGACCTTTTGCTTGAAGTGGACTTCTGGGAATTACAATCTATAAAATAATAAGTTGTTTATTATGTGTGTGAGAACGTCTGTTATATAAATATATAATTCACCTTTATACCGGGAGTATGAGCAAAATATCCTTCGGGAGATTGAGAATGATAATGTCCTCCATGTCCTACAGCAGAACAAGGTGCTCTTATTAACAATCCACCAACATTAAATATGCCTCCTGAACGATATCTATATTTAGCGGCCTCATTAACAATCTAAAATGACAGACATAAATTATAAAAAATAAAATAAAATAAAAAATAATAAATGAAAAGAAAGAAAGAAAGAAAGAAAGAAAGAATATTTATACTTGATCAAATGCCGGATAAATATAATCTGCAAATTGGATTTCTGCAATTGCAGTATGTCCCATTGACGCCATACCAATAGCAAATCCTACAATTCCTTGTTCCGTTAATGGAGTATTAAATACTCGATCTCTACCTGTCACAATAATTAAAATTAAATAAAATAATTTATAAAATAATTTTATAATAAAATAATTTACAAAATAAAATAAAACAGTTATAAAAAATTACCAAAAATTTCAGTTAACCCTAAAGTACACCTAAATACACCACCGAAAGCTACATCTTCTCCAAAAATGACTATTCAATTAAAAATGATGATGATAATAATAATGAATATTATCAAATCACCGAGATTTATTGAGATAATTTCAAATATATAAAATTAAACCTATTGATCACCAGCTGTCTCGTCCGTAGCTAATGTAATTCTCATCGCATCATTTATAGATTGAAATAAATTCATCTTCTTTGTCTCTCCTAAAATTCCAAAAATTCCAAAAAATTAAGTTTTGTTTCGTTTTTATTGTGGACTTATTTTATTATTATTATTGTTATTATTATTATTATTGTTGTTGTTATTATTATTATTAATTGCCAATTCTTAGTCCTATTGTTTACCATCTAAAACACCAAATTCTAATAATTCCCGATTATTTAATGCATCCTCGGAAGTATTTTTTATAAATCTTGATTCCGAAACTCCTGGCATAAAACCTTCAGCGGGTGGTGGTGATTGAGTTGAACTTGAAAAACTCTAGAAAGAATGCATTGAAATTATATGTATTGACGTGACATTATAAAAAGACAATATATATATATATACCTTGTGAAAAATTCTTGTTCCAAAGATACTTTTTGTACTTTTTATATTTGTTGTTCTCACAAATTTACGTAGAAAAGATAAGGACGATACATTCATTTTATTATTTTTATTATTATTATTAGTAGGAATAGTATAATTTTATTATTATAATTGTAATTAATAAAATTTGGTGGAGCGAAGACTCGGTTTTTTTTAAAAAAAAAAAAATTTTTTTCTTTTTTCATATAAGATTTGTTTGTGTACGAATGATCATCAAAAGAAAAAAAGTTACTAATAGTCATTTAGCTCTGTTATGAAAATGTGGTACTCAACGCTTAATGCTGCCGTTGAAAACAAAAACACATGTTGGCCTGAAAGTCTTTATCATAAGATTATAACAAAAATAACTTGGACAACCTTCAACAAAATAGCAAACCTGATTTTCTTAAAACGAACGTCAGGATACTCGAGAAAGGATCAAAATCCCATATTTACTATATTTAATATCGAAGTTCAAGGTTGAACAGTACGAAAAAAAATATATCAAATTCTTTTTCATGGAGGTAAACCAAATAATTTAATTAAACAGCAAGTTCAAACTCGAGAAAGAATTTATTCGAAGAAAATTTGAATTGTCTTAAAGATAATGAAAACCCATATATAGTTATTCCAGAACATCTTCGAGAATTAGATCTCAATTAAATTAAAAACTTAAAATAATACTATTTATTGTTTAGATCGTTACATTATTATTTTTCCGATGCGCCCATACCACATTTGGCATGGTTAAGCCCAATATGAACAAAAACTTGATTCTAATTTTTCTCGTGAAAATCTTTATAGAGTTCCAGCTTGCACTCAAAGAATTTATGACTGTTCAGACTGTTCAGACTAAGCTCTTAACTCGTTCAAATCCTTTTTTTTACTTTTCTTACGATAGTATTCTACAAAATTAAGTCTTCGATCGAAAACGGATGTAGCCATGATTTGCGTTATAGTATTTATGAGAAATGTGAAAAAAAAATTTTTTTTTTTTAATCTTGACTCGTGATATTCATGATATTGATGATCAAAAACGTCCTAAGCCACACCAATTTCCATATAAACCACACATCTTATTTTTGAAGATTTAATAATAAATGATATCCAAAAATTCCCCAAAATTTTTTTGCTTATCATCAAAATTTCAAAAAGGATTTATAGAAAAGACTAGAATCCAATCTCGAAATTACATTATTTCAAAATTTCAATTTGGATTCGAATCAATTTTTAAAATATTTGAAACCTCTAAAAAGCCATCATTATCGTCATTATTATTACTTGATAAATTTGACAATAATTCACGTAAAAAATCAACCAAATCTTCGTTCAAATCATCATCATCATTCAAGCCATCATCATTCAAATCATCTAAACCATTCAAATCATCATCATTCAAATCATCTAAACCATTTAAATCATATAAACCATTCAAATCATACAACAAATCATCTAAAGTACCACCATCATCATTTATACCTTCGGATCCTCGAATAAAATCCGAACATTGTCCAGGATGTGGTGCAAAATTTCAAACTAGAGACCGTTCCAAACCTGGTTATCTAATAACACCGAAATTAGGAGATAAAAAAAAAGTAATAATCAATCCAAATGAATTAGGAGTAAATGATATACAAAAGATGATTAAATCAATGCCAGAGGATATTCTTAAACAGCTTTATCCAATGGGATTTGAACCTGAATTAGAATCATCATCATCTTCTTCTTCTTCTTCGGATAACAAAAAAAGAAAAGAAGAGAAGAAGGAGGAGGAGGAGGGGGAGAAAAAAAAAGAAAAAATCACTTGTCAACGATGTTACAATTTAATTCATTATAATAAAGTAGTGACAGAAGAATGGCAAGAATCAGTGACATCAGAGAGATCATTTTTATCATATTTAAAAAAGAAGGATGATGCTATAATAATAACGGTGGTAGACATTTTTGATTTTCCCGGAACCTTATTAGAACATCTTGATGAATTAATTGGAACAAAGAATCCCAATATTTTAGTTGCCAATAAATCGGATCTACTTCCCAAGGATTTTAATGAAACCAGAATAAAACTTTGGTTACGTACCATAAGTGAAAAATTAGGATTTAAAAATATTCATGACGTTTTTCTTACAAGTGCCAAAAAGAATTGGAGAATTCAAGAATTATCTGAAACCATTGCAGCCATTAGAAGTGGATTTGATGATATTTATTTAATTGGTTGTGCTAATGTTGGTAAATCCGAATTAATTAATAGTTTTTTGAGGAATACCGTGGAAGAAGGATGGAGACATAAAGTAACCTCATCACCTATTCCGGGTACAACGATAGGAATGATCGGATTACCATTAACATTATTTGGTACAACTTTTGGATATAATCCAAAAGGATTTCATTTTCCACAAGAAAGTAAATATTTATATGATACTCCGGGAATTATAAATAAGAAACAATTGGTTAACCTATTGAATGAAGATGAATTGAAAATGGTAATTCCACAAAAAATGATTAAACCATTGACATATTATATTTTTCCAGGTATATAAAAATGAATAATTAATTAATTTGTTTTAACAATATTATTGTTATTATTATTATTATTATTATTATCATCATCATCATCATTTCATATTATTTTATTATTATTATATTATTTTTTTATTATTATTATCAATAGGTAAATCTTTATTTTTAGGGGGATTGGCTAGAATTGATTATGTTGAAGGAGATAAACCGATTCGAATCACAATATTTAGTAGATTAAATCCACATGTTACTTCAATTCGAAGGGCCGATGAGATGTGTCAATCTATGGCGGTTGGTGATAAAACATTCTTGGAACCACCAATAATAAATTCGGTAAAAAGAAGGATTGAACCTTTTCCTCCATTGGTTAGAGGTATAAAAAGGCATGCTTTAAAAGGTCTGAGAGGTACCACGATGTCACTAAAAGATATTGTATTTTCCGGAATTGGATGGGCTTCATTTGGTGGAAGTTATGAAAGAGCCATCATTGATGTTTGGTCACCAAATGGTACAGGAATTTATTTTAGGGATAAACCTTTATTGCCATTTGAATTTAAAAATGTATTTGAGAAATTCCCTTAATTTATATAATTTATAAATTATTATTATTTATTAATTTTATTTGTTTTTTTATTAAATTAAATTAAAATAACATGTAACTTAAAAATTCGTAAAAATACAATTGTTATATAGGATGAAAACACTAATAACCGAATAAAATGGATAGTACTTTATTTAATGTGAAACCAGTATGGCTGAAACTATTACAGATAAAAGTCATACAAGTTATATAAATTATTTTATCACAAATAAATGCAGGATAACTTATAGTTTTTAATCAATTTAATAATATTTAAAACATTAGATCTATAAAGCTATATAAAGTTATGGAAATAAATCTAAAAAGAAATTATTTCCCTTTCTAGAAAAAATGAAATAGACAAATTCATGTGATTATATCTGTGCCAACAGGAATTGAATCTTTCATTATTATTATTATTTATTATTATTATTAATTATATAAATTAATTATTTTTGTGCATAATAATTCAAATGGTTAAAATGATTATAAATTCATCAAAAACAACCACCTTTTAACAACTACAAAATAACAATTAATTTATTGAATAAATAAATACATTTGTTTGTAAATATAACTACAGTAAGTTTCTATAATACAAAGGAAAATAGACCTTTATTATCTCAAAAAAAAGGAATAAATATAATATAAATACTTTTAAATCATGCTTTGCATCTTTTATATATAACACAGATATTAATTAAAACTTATATTGTTCTCTACTTTTAAAGCATCAAAACTTTTTAGAACAGGAAGGAAAATATAATTTTCTAGAATTTTCCTTAGGACACTGATCTTATCCTGCTCCAAAATCATGTCACTACTACTATTATCACCATACCACCACCATTATCAAATGTGCTTATATCAGAGTCTCAAGTAGTACTCCTATGAGTTGACTTCCAAATCAAATGAATCAGAATTTCATATGAAATTTAATATATACATTATTTTTTTTATAGTATACAAGTTATATGGGAATTAATGGGTCAACCTATTTAGAGCTCTAGTCTCAAGCTTTTTATATAAATATCTTCTTTCAAAGTTTGACCATTACTTATTTTAGATCAGAACTCCAAGTGGGTCAACTTGTTAACTTGTATAATATAAAATAGAATTGTAATTCATATATTAAATTTTATATAAAATTCTGATTTGTTTGATTTGGAGATCAATTTGTTAGGAGCACTATTTTAGATATTAATAATTTTAAGAGATTCAGATTGTGTTTTCTACTAGAGCAATCAAGTTATAGATAGTGCTCCTAATGAGTTGACTCAAATTAAATGAATTGGAATTTTATATGAAATTTAATATATAGTTACAATCCATTACATTTTTTAATAGTATATAAGTTATATGCAAATTAACAAGTCAATCTATTTGAAACTCTAGTTGTGGTAATTATAGAGTTAGGCTCTGTGAGTTTATCTACAATTATGGCTAGTATTCTAAGCTAAAGTTCATTAACTAACTTATTAACTTAGTTAGCTAATTTTTTGAGAATCATTTAAGTCATTATTATATAGGATAATCTTTTTAGCCAATATTTATTATATCTTTATTATTTAAAATCAACTTTTTGTATAATTAATTGTATAACTTTAATATAATTATAATCTGTGGATTACATGATAATTATGTATAATAATGCATTTGTATAATGTATTGTATAATTCTAAATATAATTGCAGATTATTTTTATTTTACAGTAACAGTATATTAATTATATACTCATAAATTTTATTTCTATATTAAAAAAATTTAGCTTTATCTGGTCAAGCCAGCTAAGTCAATTTTAAAATATAAACTTAGTCAAATCAATTTTTTTTAGATTGGCTTAAATGATTTCAAATTTCTAAATCAAATTAAAGGTATGATTCTAATCTTGAATCAAGTATAACCCTAATCCCGAGACAAGTCTAATTATATAAATTTATCTTTCAAATTAGTCTAAAATAAATTCAAATTAAATTTAACCATTTTCTAATTTTTTAAATTTAGAATAATATTATGAATTTAATTAAAAAAAAGGTACTAATTTTATAAAATATATCTATTGTTAAATATCTTGGAAACTAATTTGAAATTACCATTATAAAATCAATAAAATATATGTAAAATAATAAAAGGAATAATTTTTATTAATATAATAAATATTAAAATAGCAGTTTTCAAGAAAATATAATATTTATTAAATATTTTTATTGTTAAATATCTCGGAATATAATTCAAAAATCATCATTAAATTAATAGTAAAATATATGTAAAATAATAAAAGGAACAATTTTTATTAATATTATAAATGATGTTAAAATAGCAGTTTTCGATATCGCGTAACATTAGTGAACTTTTGAGTCAAAAAATCATGACCCTAAATTCCTGAGTTTATAAAATCCGAATCCGATCCGATTTGGAACCTGAATCGTATCACCCAGGTGGATACAGCTCATTTGGAGCACTAACTATACCTATCAGATATTAGATAGGTGTAGTATTTATAAAAATTTGACCAGTGTATTGAATTATATTATCTTAGATACTATACAAGTAAGAGATTAAACAATCACTATTCGTGCTTAATATTGTTGTGAATTATTTTATTTTATATTAGACTTATATATAACAAGAAGCTCCTTGTAATTGATTCCAAACATTTATAACAATAAAATTATCATTTCATCATGAATTTTTGAGATGTAATAATAATTGACCAAATAAGAAAGATCAAGCTGAAAATGAATTTGAAATTAATATTTGAAAATGATACCTTTATTTTGCACACCACAAAAGTACCATCAAAAAAAATGTAATTTATAAAAATGCTCTCAAGCACATGTGAAAAGACACATTAGAAATTTAGTGAATAAAGTACATAAAAAAAACTGCATCATGTTTAACTCAAACTTTTGACATAATTGTTTTAATAGTAAACAAATGTCTATAAAAAACAAGAAAGAAAAATTAATAGTAAGACAGTTAGAAGGAATCAATTGATATCTAAAGCAGAAGAACTTGATAAAATTGTAATAACTTCCGTAACTGAAGCTTATACAAGTAAAACTTGTAGTAATTGTGAGAAATTTGGGTGGAAATAAAGTAAAATGACGCCCGGGAATTTTCTCTGGCTCTGTGATGTGGCCTTAATTATGTAAGCAATTACGTATATAGTTATGCAAGTTGATTATAGTTATCTATAGATGATCAATTCACCATCTTCCGATTCTCTTCCATTATATTTTTTCTTCTCTCACACGCACATTTATTTCTTTATTTCAAATAGTTATCTGCCTTTTTATTTCTGTACTACATTTTTTTAAATATAAATTATTTATTGTTTCGGTTTCGTTAATTTTTTTAATTTCAGCAGCTAATGTTCAAATTGACTAACACTAAATTGACTAACATAACACTAAATTACTAATTATAGTAATTATAGACGTTGTAATAATTAAAGAATTTATTGACTTTTCTTATTCTTGTGAATAGATAGAAGTTATAAAAATTTCTTTAACTGTTAGATAAAGGAATAAAGTAACTGTATAAAATTAAAGTGATGTATAAAGGCTCATCCTTTTTTTCATCTTTAATCTTTATATCTTTAATTAGTTTTTATTCTTATAGTATATATTTTTTATGATTTTATGTATATATGAATTTAATTTCTTTTCTTTGTTAATAAACTCGAGTTTTAAGATTTTTTCTTTTGGGTTTTATATGATGTCATATAAAAATGTTAATTTTGTATTTCTACGTGTGTGCTTTCTTATATAATGAAACTCTGTTTAACTTTTCTTATTAATTTATTTACGTTACTTTTGTTAAAATTTAGTTAGTTCTCTATTAACCGGTAGTTATCTGTTATCAGAAACAGCTAGCTTACTGCAAGTGATCACCTAGATTATTATTATTTTGTGTGTGTGTGTGTGTGTGTGTTGTGTGTATGGTATGCATTTGGCACTTGGCATTACTTGTTATTGTTGAATGACTCAAATATCAAAAAACGAAAAAAAAAATAATGCCTATCTTCGGAAGTTCGGAAGGGCATCATATAACTCAATGAGCATTATTAATGTAAGAAAGACAAAAATTAATTATCATTGCGAAACTTAAAACTCAAGCTTTCAAATGATACCAAGAATACCTTGGCGGAAAATCTCTTCTCCCGTTATATTTGAAAAATAAAAATAGAAATTACTATACGGGTGTCAGGTGACTATGCGCACACTTTTTATTTATTTATTTATTATTATTATTATTATTATATTATGCTGGCCCCGACTCATTCATTCATGTGTATTTTATGAAACGCGGTGGCATGATTTTTCACACACTTGAGACATTTATAGTCATGGGACACTTCACTTGAAGGTGGCACATTTCGCGTTTCAAGTTGGCTGAGGCATAATAATAATAATTCTCCTTTATTAAGATCGACGAATCGAACGGTGATGAATTATGTCTCTTTTTTCTGAGGTTCACGAGATAATCCGATGATGACAGATCACAGATTTAGTATATTTTAAAAACGGTAAACGAACTAGGACAATTTTTCTAAATTTATCTTTTTTTTTTTTAAAAGAATAATATATATTTGTATAGATTTATTTAAAAAAAGGTTTTTTGTTGGTTTTGTTGTTTTGTTATTGTTTTTGTCGCTTTTGTTGTTTTTTTTTTGTTTTGTTTAAAATAACAAAAAAAACAATAACAATGCTTTTTGATTTGATTATATGTTTGATAGATGACATAATCAAATACAGTTTATATCCAGTATAATAAAATTTAAAGTTGCACCACTATTATAACAACCCCTTAATCAAGTAGTTAGGAGAAAGTACTTAATATAAATTTAATTAAATTAATGATTCTTGTAATGTACAATATTGAGAAAAATTACGTCATTGAAAAAATTAAAGAATTCTATGGATAATTCTATATTTCCCAAAACAATAATAATATTTTTTTTTTTGTTGTTATTTTTGATTTGAATGATTGAATGGTTTTTGAATTTGATAGTGGAGGGGAGGGGTTTATAATAGCGTAATAAAAAGTACCATGTTCGTTATATGCCAGTAAGTAGGTATTCACTTTTTTTTTCATATCAAATTTCTCCGATAGGTTAGATTATTATTTTTTTTAGCCCGTTTTATTCAACCCCCCCCAAAAAAAAATCATTAAAAATCATTATTAAATCATTTGGTCGTAAATTTTTGTAAAAGAATGATAACCTACATTACATATATTAAATATTTTTACCTTTTTTTTTTTTTGTCGCACGGATGTTTTTGTGGCGTTCGATATTTTTTTTAAGTTGATTACCTATGCATCATATTTATTTATTATAACAAAAAAAAAAGGCGATTATTTTATTCCATTATATGTATACACATTTTATCCTTTTTTGTCCCTTTTATCCATTAGTGAATAAATGGAAATCACGAGAATTCGAATTTGGTTAAAATTAGTAAAAACAAAAGGTCGATTAAAAATAGTTTTTGTTATATAATAATAATATAAAGTTGAAATTCCGTGATTTTGTGTTTTTTTGAAATCGGGAATATATTGAATGTTTCATATCTCATTGACTTTAAATACATCATATATTTTTCATTTATTGTGTTATATGCGCAGTAAATAAATATAACATAGATAATTTAATATAAGTAATGTTTATTATATTATTATTTTTATTATTGTTATTATTATTGTTATTATTATCATTACGTATTATTTGTAATTATTTTTATTATTATTTTTTATTAATATAATTATTATTATACTGTACATAATAATTACTGGTGATAGTTTTACTTGCGTATTCACCAAAACAGAAATTTTATATTTACAATAACATTCTTATTATAATCTATCAATTTTTTTTTAGAATCCTGTGAATATGACAAATTGATTAACATTTATACGTAAATATATGTATTTGATATTATTATTTTTATTATTATAGAACAAGTATTACGAAAGAAGAATAAGAATAACATTCTTTTAATATCTTCTTCTCATTATTACTATTATTGTTTGTTATTATTATAATACAAAAAAGGGGGGGGGGGGCAAAAAAATGGGGGGTAAGAATTATTAAGGAAATGAACGCCTCGGAGAGTTAGTTCCAAGAAAATTCTTTTTTTACGCAGGATGTGAAGTTTATAGAAAAGTATTATTTATTTACAGAATAGATAAGATAGATATGCAATAAAGATAGGCTTTTATGATCAGGTTTTACTAGTTGGCTGTGCGGAGGGAAACTTAATAACTTATAAAAATATAATAAAAGATATCCTTAATGTTATAATAGTTGTAATATAATGAATATTATATTCTACATATACATATGTACATATAAAAGGATTTAAATATTAAAAAAAAGAAGTAATATAACGAAACGAAAAGGTTTTAATTTTATTCTAGAATTTCTTTCTTTCTTTAAAAAAAATGAGGATATCACAATCAACATTTAACTTTATATATAAATCGTGATATCTTATATATATTTTGTATATATTTTTGGTGATGTTATAATAAATAGTTAATTAATAATTTATTTACAGTATTATTATATAATATATTTTTTATGAAAATGTTATTGTAACTGGATTAGGCGTTAAATTCCCAGAAGATTTTTCGAAGTGAACATGTGACCTACGCACACCACTCCCTCATCGTTCTCACTTAATCTCCTTGTGTATTATTATTATTACTATTTATTCTCCGTAACCTTTTTTTAGAGAAGGTAAATATATCTATCAAAAAAAAATATGATAAACAATAAAAAAAATAATAATAATGAAAAAAAAATAAGATAATGAAAATAATAAAAATAATGAAATAATAAAAAGAATGATACAATAATAAAAAGAATAACATGGATAACAGGATAAATTAAAATAAATGAAAATGAATAATACAAAAAAGGTCAAGAGCACACGAATAATCACCTCATTTCACCCTCACCACATCTCACCACACCGTCACCTTCGTGCCCATTTAAAATAAGAAAGTGAAGAATTGGATGAACTAACTTAGATGAAACCTAATAATAATAACAATAATAATAATAATAATTTAATAATAATAATAATAATAATAATACGTAATAATAATAATAATAAATAATAATAATAATAATTTAATTATAATAAATTTAATGATATTAATAATTATTATTATATAAAAAATAATATTTGTTGTTGTTTTAAATTATTCATGCGTTCCAAAAAATAAGAATAAAAAAGGATAAAAAGATTAAAAGATAAAAAAAAAAAAAAGAGATTGATTTTGCATTTCTGATATGACAATGTGCATGTATAACACGCATTGTCAGACTGTTTGTCAGAGAAATCTCTAATAGAGTAAATGTTTTGCGTGTGTATGTGAAAAGTATGTGTGAGAAATTAAAAGCGAATAAATCGAATAAAGTGAATTAATTATTATTATTATTATTATTATTATTATTATTAATTCATTATATTAAATTATATTATATAAATATATATTTATTTATTTATTTTATTTTAATTTAATATTTTGATTACAATTTTTGAATCACATTTATTATATTACATTTGATTACATTACATTTATTATTAATATTTTTGATTACCATTTATTGATTGATTATTTTGTCAAAAGGTCGCGCGACAAAAAATTGGAATCATTATTATTAAAAATTATTCTTGAGGATAGAAAATATTAGAAAAGTCTAGAAAAATGTTAAAAAACGTACGGTAAAAAAAAAAAAATACATTAAAATATTAATATTTTAAAAAATATTAAATATATGTATATATATGTGTTTGTGTGATCTTCATTTTAAACTAAAAAAATCTAAATTGTAAATCTGACGAAATGCAATCTTTGCAATCTCTGTGGTCCCTACTAAATACGGCTATCTAGAGTATTCAAAGTTGGTGAAATTATTAAAGAAAACGAACATTATTATTTATTTGTATTTTATTACGCATTTTTTAAAACATATAGAATATATATATGTATATGTGTATAATATAAATATAAAAAGGAAGATATAAAGAAATATAAAAGAATAAACAAAAAGAACAATAAAAGAATATTCAATAGAATATATTATTTAAAGACATACACAAAAGAGATGTGTATTTTAGGAATCCGACTATTTTTCTTTAAATATATTTATTTATTTATTTTTTCTCATTTTTTTTTTTATTATTAAAAAAAATCACGGTACATGAGAGTATTTTTTTTTTTTTTGAGAAGGGGTGCGTTGCTTGTTATACGTGTGTGGAGGAGGAGGTAATAATAATATTAAAAAAAACTCTTTGTATGATACCTGATTTGGTTTATTTATTTATAATAGCGATGATCAACAATGAAACAATTTCTTTCTCTCTTATTTTCTCTCTTTCATTTTTTTATTTCTTTTAGAACCGAATAATTTTACAAATATAAATATAGATGCAAAATAAAGATATAAATAAATGTTTAAATAATAAAAGATTTTTGAATAATACAATAAATAAAAGAATAATATGCATATATAAAAAAAAAAAAAAGTAAACTTATTTCCTTTTTCTTTTCTCTAAAAAAAAACTTTATTTATGTTTTTTTCACGTTCTGAAATATTTTTTTTATAAAATATTTTTTGTAAAAAATAAATTATTTTATCATTGTTATTTTTTTTTTAATAAACAATTTTTTCTTATTTCGATACAAGAAAAATAAATAAATAATCATAATGATAATATAATATTCTTTAATTTAATTTGTATTGAACATTTGATATTTTTAATTTCCGTTATTCGCCGACGCAGCGAATTTACAGTCAATTACAATAACTTACAGTCAATTACAATAAATTACAATAGATTACAATAAAATTTTACAATTGAGTTAGAAGAAATAATCCCTATTTTAGGTTAAAAATTTTTCACACAAAAGTCCCCAAATCGAATTGATTGGTAAACGCGTACTTTTAATGGACCCCAAATTTTGGTATAATTAGAACAAATCTGGAACTTGTTCAATTTTTTTCTAATAAACTTCAATCCATCAAATTTTTATTATTAAATAAAAAAAATAAAAATATTGTTTACTTTTTTTTTTTATATAATATTCTACGCTTGACTGGAAATTTAATTTTATTATTATTATTATTATTACAATAATAATAATAATAATATAATGTATGATATGATAATAGTAATAATAATATAAAATATAGTTGTGATTATATAGTTATTATTATTATTATTATTGTTTATAAATAATATATTTTAAAAAAAAAAAAATTTCATTTTTTTGGAACGTTAAATTTATAAATTGATAAATTTGTAAGTTGTAATCAATTTTTTTTTCCCAACCGTTTTATTTCTTTCTATCGTTTTTTATTTTTTTTTATTTTTTCTAATTAATAACCAAATTATTTTCTCGTTTTTTATTTCCATAAAAGGTATGGAACATCTGCTGTTCACACGAAGAAACATTAAAAATATCATGCTTGATGCTACTTGGAACATTATTTCTACCAATTCTGATCTTACTACTTCTAATATGGATAATATGGAGACAAATAAAACAAATAAACAAATTCCTTCGAATATTTCACCGGTTATTTACTCACCCAATAATAACCACCAAAATAATAACCATAATCACCAAAACAGTTATAACATTCATAACTTTCATAATAATAACCATAACATTAACACTCATAATATCCATAACATTAACACTTATAATAATAATCATCATCCCGATTTTCCAGTTTCCATATTAAACACACCATCACATTTCTTTCATAATAATCATAATCATCATCATCATCATCATAATCATAATAATAATAAAATTAATCATAATCATCATATTAGTAATAACAATAACAACAACAACGATAATAAAAATAATCATAATAATAATAATAATGATTACGGTCATCATCATTCGATTGTTAACTTTCATCATATGCAATATATGCAATCCTTCTCCACTCCATTTCCAAAAACTTACTCTGACGTCAGTAGTGGATCATCATGTGCCGCTTCAGAATTTACAATCGAACCATTACCTGATGATTACGAAGTTGATGATTATTACTGCAATGATTACAACAATGATTACAACAATGATGTTAATTACTATTACGATAACGTTAGTAATAATAACAATAACAATAATGATAATGATGATGATAATGATGATGATAATATTGATGATAATAATGATAATGATGATGATAATGATGATGATGGAGGTGTTGATAATAATAACAATGTTATTGATAACAATGGTATTGTTGATACAAATATAATTAATTCACACGACGATCATTTCACAACAACAACAACAGCTTCAAGTACAATATGTAAATCCGATAATTTAGATTTAAATGCTAATAATAGTAATAATAATAGTAATAATAATAATAATAATAATAATAATAATAATAATAATAATAACGTGGTGAAAATAATGAAATCTCAATTTAATTATCAACAACAACAACAACAACCACCAACTTTATTTTTATTTGACGATACTACTATTACTACTACACCAACTACTCTTTCTCCTACTATTCTTACACCTAATACTCTTACACCTACTACTCTTACCTCTTCTCTTCCTTCTCCTATTACTCCTACTTTATCTATTTCTACTTCTACTTCACTTATTCAAGAGTCTACCTTACATCCTTTACCAATGGTGACTACACGTAGTATGAGAAAGAAAAAGAAAAATAATAGTAATCAATCCATTCAACCAATTCAATCCATTCAACCAATTCAATCCATTCAACCAATTCAACCCATTCAACCCATTCAATCCACTGAGATTCCTTCTACACCTAAGTTTTTTTCAACGGACAATTGCAAAATTAATGACAACAATAGTAATGAATGTAATGAATGTAATGATAATGAATGCAATGGAATTAATGAAATTAAGAATGAAAGTAATAATAAAAGTTATGAAAACACGACTACCAACAACAACAACAATAACAAAAGACCAAAGCCAAGACGTAAAAGGACACGCGATGAATATGTAGCAATATTAAAGATGCCAGCTAATGGAATTGCGACGCGTCTAAGAAGTCGAAATTCTGATCTCACCTCCGAAACTAACAAAAAGACTAATAATAATAATAATACTAATAATAATAATAATAATAATAATAATAATAATAATAACAAAAAAATCAACAAAAAAGTTAATTCTACCACCAACACCACCTGCAATACTAATATCGTCAATAATAAGAGCAAAAGTAAAATTACTACCAACAAATCTAAATCAAAGTCAAAATCGAAATCGAAATCTAACAAATCTAACAATAAGGATAATTATAACAACTATTACTTAAATGTTAATAATAATAATATCTCTAATGGTATTAAAAATGAGAACAATAGCAAAGTCACCAATAATGTCGATAATAATATCTCCAATAATATCAACAATATCTTCGATAATAATAATAATAATAATAATGATAATAATAATAATGTTGTCATTGATGAGACCGATAAAACCAATATTAATTTTAATGAGAATTTTAATGATGACATTAATATTAATAATGATTATGATAATAAAAACAGTAATAATAATAATAATGATAATAATAATCGAGGTAGTAGAAGAGGACGTCCACCTAAAAGAACTCATAATAATAAAAGGAGAAGGGATTTAAAATTTTATCAAGAAAGTGCGGCACCGATTTCTAAAGTTGAATTTGATCCACCAAAACCTCTTTCAGGTCTTGAACCAATTTACGAGAGGGAAAATATTACTGAGGATGATAAGAAAAATAAGAATAATCTAAATGATATTCATCATAATCATAATTACCATCATCATAATAATAATAATAATTTAAATAACATTCATTATTATTATTATGATGATGGTAATTATGATTATGATGAACAACAACAACAACCATCGAGAAAGCGATTGAGGATTGATATCGCCGGTCTCTTTCACGTTACTACTATAGATACTATGGATTGCGTGAATAGCATGAATAGTTTGAATAGCGTGAATATTGTAAATACTGTAAATACTGTAAATACTATAAATCCTGTAAATCCCGTAAATCCCGTAAATACTATAAATAATGGGTATGTTATAATTTCTTTATAATTTAAATACTTATATTAAAATATTATAATATAGTATAGTATAGTATGTTTATTTATTTGTTTATTTTATTTATTATTAGCATATTGCCAAATACTACTGATCCTAGAGGAGAAGGAACAGTAAATGGTGATGGAACGATAAATGGTGGAATAAATGGAACAACAATAAATGAAACAACAATAAATGGAACAAAAATAAATGGAACAAAAATAAATGGAACAAAAATAAATGGAACAAAAATAAATGGAACAATAATAAATGGAACAATAATAAATGGAATAAGTAATGCTCCATCCTACAAACCGCGCGCTATAATCCTCGCAGATTGGGGTATCGCTTTACGTAAAAAGTTTCTTTGTCAATACCTTTTACATGGAAAAGATTTTTTAAAGATTTCCACAAATTTAAATAAAACCCATAAACAAGTGGTAGAATTTTATTATTTAATTAAACATGACGGTGATTTTCGTCGTGCCAAGGAACTTCGAAGGGATACCGTCTTACACGCCGAAAAGGTGGAAGAACTTTTTGAATTCGTTTTAAAATACAATCAAAATCCCAAGGCTTGGCAGGGTGATAAAAGGCGTGGAAGGCCACGTAAGGATTAAATTTCCTTTTTTGGGAATCCTTTTTTTTTTTTTGTTGGATATCTTTTTTCATTTATATATTTTTTTTCATTAAAAAAAAATAAAAATAAAAAAAATGATATATAGAAATTGTATAGAGTTTTTTTTTTGGTTTTTTTTTTCTCTATATATATTCGTGATCATTATTCAACCAAATACACGTACATATAATTTAAATGTTTTTTAAATATGGGAAAAAAAATGAGGAAAAGAGGAATGAAGTAAAAAGTAACGAATATTGTATGTAGGAATATATTTGTACACATTGAATCGTATAAAATTTGTAAATATTCTAAATATTTATATATATACATATCATTAGTTTTTTTTTTTTGTAAATATTTCTTGTTGTGTGCTTTTCTTTTCAATCATGAAATCATTTTTTTTTTTTTGTTTTTTTTTTAAAAAAAAATTTGTATTTATCATTTATTATTTTTTTTTAATTTATTTTTATGATTGTCATTTATTTTTTTCATTAAGAAAATATTTCAGTAGGATTTTTTTATTGTTAAATAATTTGTGATTAGGTTTATTTTTTATTTCATTTTAGGATTTTCAAAACTAGAAATAAAAAAAAAATAAAAAAAAAGAATAATAAAGAATTTTTAAAAGTAGGAGTTACGTGTCATTTCATTCACGTACTCGTACTAACCAACCTAATTTTTTTTAAAAAAAAAAAAATTGACGAATTTTCTTCGCATTTCTTCGAATAAAATTTTCGTGATCTAAATTCTGTTAAATTCTGTTAAATTCTGATAAATTCTGATTAAAAATTTTTAAAGTCAGCTGGTTTGAACTGTTTATTATTTTTCGTTCATTTCGCTCAAAATCAATTCATTCAATCATTCGAATAATATAATTAATAGAATAATTTTACTTAATCAAAAATTGAAACGTTAAATTTATTCAATCGGATCAAATTTAATTTAATTATTATTATTATTATATTATACTATTCTAATTACTATAATTACAATTACGTATTTTAATTGTATTATAGATTAAACTTTAAATATTGTACATGCTTTCTTTCTCTCTCTCTCCCCTTTTTTTAATTATTATTATTTATTATTATTGCTAAATCGAGGAAACCGATAATTAATTATAAAGAAAGAAAAGAAATTACCTTCCATAAACGATCAACAAGTCAATAAAAAACAAAAAATAAATTGTTATTATAACTACTTAATTAATTAATTATGACAATGAAACGCAACAATAAATATATATATGTATAAATAAATAAATATATACGTTAATAGATAATGTAATTATTCAATTTATTCGAATTAAATTAAAAATTATAATAATAAATAAATAATAATAAATAAAAAAGTAAAAGAATAAAGTAAAAGAATTAAGCAAAAGCATAAAGAAGAAAGGAATAAAGAATAAATAAAAAGAATAAATAAAAGAGATAACGTACAGCTAAATAATTATACAGTCATATACAGTATATAATTGTATATACAATCATTATTGAAATCAATAAGTTTGTTCATTTAATTAACTGATAAAGAATTTAGAATTCCCGATTTAAAATATTTTCATATGTGCACACCAAATTCATAATCAATTTCATAATCAAAAAAAAATTCATTAATCTCTTTTTTTTTTTTTTTTTTTTTTTTTTTTAATCTTTGTGTTTCTGCTATTGTTGGTATTGTTGGTTAAACATCAAATCAAATCAAATCAAATCGATAAATATCGATTTTTTTTTTGGGTCATCATGAAAACCATCTTTAATAATTTTAATTTTAACAATTTCTTATCACAAATTTCGAATTATTATTATAAAAGATATAAAAACAATCATCAATTATTATCATTAGCAAGTAAATTAAATCAAACTGGTCGTTCAAGAAGAATAATAATAAAAATGTCAGGTAATAATAATAATAATAATAATAATAAGGAACAACCGGAATGGCAGGTTCCTACCCCAACGGAACCAGTCCCGGTACTGAAAATTTATAACTCACTTACGAGGTCTAAGGTATCTAAAATTTTTAAATATTATTATAATATAATATCGAAATATTCAATTTTAATTCATTATTTATATATATCTAAAAAAAAAAAAAAAATTTATATAAAAGTTGCATTATTTCAAAATAATTATTTCAATATATATATATATATATATATATGTATGAATATATATATAAAATAAATATATATAAATAAAAATAAAATAAAAATAAAAAACAAAAGGTCGAATTCATTCCGAGGAATGGAAAACTTGTTACTTGGTATAATTGTGGACCTACAGTATATGATGCTGCGCACATTGGACACGCGAGACTTTACGTAACAATTGACATAATTCGTCGCATATTATCCGATTATTTTAAATACGACGTATTCTTTGTAATGAACATTACGGATATCGATGACAAGGTATTTATTTATATAATCTTATTTATTTATTTATTTATTTATTTATTATTTTATTATTTTATTAATTATTAATTAAATTAATCAATTAATTAATTAATGACCTGGTAAATAAAAATTCAAAAAAAAAAAAAATTAGATTATCCTTCGCGCCCGTCAAAATTATCTTTATAATGAATTTAAATCTTCTAATGAAAAACTTACGAAAGAATTGGTTGAGACAGTTCGTACCGCATTAAATGATTTTGCCAAAACTAAACTTGGGGTAAGTGGTGATAAGGCGGCTCCCTCCAAAGATGATCCATTATATTTATTGTATGTTCAAGCACTTGTAAGTTATCATTTTTATTAATAAAAAACATTTTGCTTCTTATTTTGTTTCCGATTTTTCTTTTGATTTTCTTTTGATTTTTTTTTCTGATTTTTTTTTTTTTTTTTTTTGATTTAATTTTTAGAGAAAATCAGTTGATGCTATTGCGGTTGCTGAAGTGGCACTCGAAGACAATGATACAAGTAAAGAAAGTGCTCATGATTTATTGGAAAATACTTATGAAATCATCATTTCATGGTTAGACAAAGAAGTAAATATCTATTAAAATTGATATATTTGTTATTAAAAAAAAATCATATTTTATTTATTATTAAAAAATATATATATATATAATGCATTATAGAAAGGTGCATCGATTACAGATCCGAAAGTATTTCGTGATCTTGCCGCACATTGGGAAAAAGATTTTATGGAAGATATGCGAACATTAAATGTTTGTCCTTCAGATATTTTAACGCGAGTTAGTGAATATGTACCCGAAATTGTTAAATATATTCAAAAGATAATTGATAATGGTTACGCTTATGAAAGTGATGGATCCGTTTATTTTGATACTTTCGAATTTGATGGTAGTAAGAGTAAAATTATTAATAATAAGAATAATAATCCTTATCGTCATCATTATGCAAAATTGGAACCTTGGTCAGCTGATAATGAAAAACTTATTGAAGAAGGTGAAGGTAGTTTGGGTAGTAAGTTACAAGGGAAAAAAAATAAAAGTGATTTCGCTTTATGGAAAAAAAGTAAACCAGGTGAACCATTTTGGGAATCTCCTTGGGGTCAGGTAATTAATAAATTTATTAATTTATTCATTATTATTTATTTTTATTTTTTATTTTTGACTATTTTGATCACATTTACATGTTATAATTATTTTTATTATAAATCTATAATAGGGTCGTCCGGGATGGCACATTGAATGTTCGGCGATGGCAAGGTATAATCTCACTTCATCTTTTCTTCTTCTTCTTGTGGATTTTCTTTATTTCATTCAAATTACACATTATTTATAAATTGTTTATTATTATTATTAGTGAAGTTATTGGTGAAAATTTGGATATTCACTCCGGAGGAATTGATTTGGCATTTCCTCATCATGATAACGAATTAGCACAATCTGAAGTAATAAAAATAAATGATTATTATTCAATTGAATTTAAAATTAATTAATTAAAATTAAAAAATAATTCTTTTACTACTTCAATTTCATTTATATATATATTTATATAGGCTTATCATGGATGTAACCAATGGGTTAATTATTTTATTCATGCCGGTCACTTAAATCTTGAAGGTCAAAAGATGAGTAAATCTTTGAAAAATTTTATTACCATAAAGGTAGGTGAATCCCTCTTTTCTCGTCTCTCTCCTCTTTAATATATTTTTAATTTGCTTACCTTTTCTTCCCCCCTTTTTTTTAATAAATGATAAATAGCAAGCGTTAGAAAAATATACATCTAGACAATTACGATTTTGTTTCCTTCTTCATCAATGGGATTCAAAATTAGACTTTAAAGATTCTAGCCTTGCCGAAGCAAAAAATATCGAGACAATTCTTAATGTTTGTAATTAATTTATACTTAATTCTTTATATATATATATATATATGTTGATATTTTTAATATTTATTTTTTCATTTGTATATATATTTGGTTATTAGAATTTCTTCGTCAATGTCAAAGCTTTAATAAATGAACACAAGCACTCCGCATATTTATCAGATGGAACACATCAATATCTCAATCCCGAAAAAGAACTTTTAAATGTGTAAGCAAACATATTACTCAATCATGATATTTTTGATTTCAATTTTATCGAGTATTAAAATAATAATTTTTATTAAAATTATTTACATATGTATTTAATTATTTGTTTGTTTATTTGTTTGTTTCATTATTTTATTTATTTATTTATTTATTTTTTTTATAAAAAAAAAAGTTTCCGAGGGAAACAACAAAACGTTCACGCAGCACTTTGCGATTCATTTAACACACCAACTGTAATTTCGGAAATAATGGATTTGGTTTATAAAACTAATATCTATATCGCTAGTGGAAGGTCCAAAATAAATATTAATATCATTGAAAATATAGCAAATTATGTAACTAAGATGTTAAGAATTTTTGGAGTTATAGAAAGTTCCGAATCTAAAGAAATTGGATTTGGAGTATCCGAAAAACAAAAATCTGTTAACGTAGGAATTTTTTTTATTTTTTTTTTTATTTTATTTTATTTTGTTTTTATTTTGGCTTTTTTTTTTGATTCTTGTATCATTATCTAGATCTATACTAATAATAATACCATTTCATGATATTTGTTTATGATACTTCTATTTTTTTTTTTTAATAGAAAGAAGAAATTGTTCTTCCATATCTTCGCGTATTATCAAATTATCGTGATAATATTCGTGAATATTCTAGGCAAAAAAAAGATTTCAGTGAATTTTTAAAATTAAGTGATAATTTAAGAGATGTGGAATTAATAGAATTTGGAGTATCATTAGATGATCAAGAAGATGGTAAGGCTTTGGTAAAATTTGTAAATAAAGAAGAACTTATTAAAGCTCGGGAAGAAAAATTAAAAGTTCAAGCGGAAAAATTGGCAAGAAAAGAAGAAATGGCTAAAGCTAAAGAAGAAGAAAGAAAGAAAAAATTGGAACAAGGAAAATTGGCACCAGAAGATATGTTTAAAAATGTTAAAGGTGAAAATGAAGAAAATGCATATTCGGCATTTGATGAACAGGTAATAATAATAATATATAATATATATTATGGTAATAACTATTATTTATTTAATAATTATAATAATAATTTATAATAATTATTTTATTAGGGAATTCCAACTCATGATAGCAAAGGAGAAGAACTTGCTAAAAACAGGGTGAAAAAGTTAAAGAAAGAATGGGAAACTCAGAATAAATTACATACAGAATATTTAGCCTCTCTAGAACAAAATAATAACGATGTATAATTAGATAATTTAATATATATATACAATACTACACTCACCTAGCAAAAGTATCCGATCACTTAAAAATTATCGATTATAAAGTAAATTTTTATCCGTTAATAACTTGTGATCTAACATATAAAAATGAGTCAACTTTTTTTTTATTTAATTGCCTTGGTTTTGGGCTTTCATATGATATCTTAATTACTAATTTTGGATGCATAGTCGTCAAGAAATTTTGATTCAATTAACATCAGCAAAAAATCGAATTTTGAAACTATAAAATTAACATTTATCGATCTCAATGGATATTAATCGTAACTAAAAAGTATCTTATATGAATTTGTAACTAATAATATATGCTACAACTTTTAATTAGTAAAGTATTTGATGTTTTCTAGTGCAAATTTTTACTTAGACACATCTAAAACGATCAAAATTTACCGTTGGTCATTTTACTATTTAAAAAAAAAATTATAAATAGTTCGCTCATATAAAAGTTCATTTGTGACGAAGAAAATGTTAAATGTGATACTAAGTGAACTCAAAGAAAACATCATTGCGCATCTACTATAAGAGTTTCAGGCCTGTATCATTATAATTGATAG